CTTGTATTCAGTTGAAACAACGCCCCTAGCGGCAAACGTTCCAACTCTAACTAAGCACTGAGCACACAGGACAGTTCATAGATCCTCTGTTTCACCTGGCCAATCTGGTTCATCTACTGGGTAGGCAGCGGCTTTGCTTTGCTACTGGCATTGCTGAAGTCCATGGGCGACGGTAATCGCTCACCATCAGGTGGGCCGTATGCACGTCTGCCTACAGGGGCAATAAAAAAACTGCAGAAGGTGCCCCTCGGTCTTTGCACATGAGTGTTGGCACTGAATATAGTACAACTCAAATAGATTATGGCTTTTTAAATACTGAAAGGAGAATAGAAAAACTTATATTTTACGGGTCATAAAAGTGCTTAATATATCGTAACTGTATCGTGCTCGGTATCAAAGTTCAAAGTTGAAACATTTTTATTACAGAACCATGAAAGTTTTACTGGTATATAGTGAAGTTTGATACGTCATCATCTATGGTAGAACTGGGAAATACTATTACTGTTCCGTTCTTTTTCATAATGAGTTATTGGGAGCTTTATAAATCCCATAAATTATTTTGATGACTGTCAAAAATTTATAATATGCGTAAGGTGATATGAATATTACATATTCTGATATTGCTATCGTAACATTACGATTATTACTTTTAATTCCTGTGTAGCCAGACATCTTGTATATGTTTTGTGAACGGTGGGGTATATCGTACCCACTATGGGCCACAAATATCAGGAGATAGTATCTGCGTCTATACCTACCTAAGTCTCCAGGTGCTGTCAACCCTGACATCACATAGTGATATTTGAGAGTCAACTTAGTTATAACTTTCGCCTTCTGCGTTAATCCCAAAAAATATTATAATTATATCATTAGGTTAATTATATTTTATTTATCTCATTTAATGAATAATTGGGTAAAACATCCCTCCAGCTTGATGCTAAGATTTGTTATGTTTTGTTGATTATATCGGAATGTTATTATATTAATAAGAAAGAAAAAAAACATGTCCTTAATTATTCTTTTTGTATTTTGAGTGGTGTTTGTTTTTTAAATATGGTACAAAAGAAAAATGTATTTACAATGAGAAGCTTTATGTCTTTTTAGCATATTCTTCTGAGCTTTGTTTATTTCATTTAACTAGATTCCTTCGGATTTTTATTGTTTTCAATATTATATAATATTTGTTATTTAGTTTTAAACCGTTTTCTTTGCTAATATAAAGAAAAAAGCAATCTGTACATACAATACATGAGTTTGTAAAATTATTGTTATAGACATAAATGTTTAACTTGTGCAGGTAGCAAACGAAAGTCTTCAAAGATGTTTTTTTAATGTGACTGACTTTTATATTTTTCGAAACTCATTGTTGTCGTATGATCTTATTAAAGTTGTTTTCGTTATCATATACGTAGTTTCATTGCTTTAATTCCGACCCTGAAGCGTTGATATTATGGAATAATTAAATAAATAAAAAAAACACCAGTAAAGGGTTAAAGCAATGAAACGTGTAAAGGTTACGGGGTCCAAAGCGTTTCTGAAGCAGTGTGCAATATAATCGCATCAGGGAGAAGCCTAACGATTTTTAATCTCGTTTAAGTCTTATCGATTTTATGAAGACGTTAAGAATGATATAGAAAATTAGATTAGTCTTGGTTTTCTTTTTAATGCCGTGATTTTTTATGTGGTAGCAACATTGAGCTGTTCGATTACTGATATATAAGTCACGCCAATAAACAAACGACTCGAAAATGGCGTCTATGTACCTGCACTGACAGATGGTAGGGTCAACAAATAAAAATAAAAATCGTGGGCAATTTTTTAGGGACGATAATTGTCAAGAGATGACGAAATATGTGGTTCTGTGACAACTACTTAAATGTAGATGTTGATATTTTTTTTGTGTCTGATATTTTTTTGCATGCAGTACGCGCCGTGTGCGACTAAAGACAGCAATAGCTTAGAGTGAGAGCGCCGCCATTTTAGATTCTTTTCTTTATTGGCGTGGCTTATACCTACCTAAATCACTTAATTTTGATTAAAAAGTATCGATATGTTGTAGATCGATCAGCTGTTCGGTTATATTTGGCATAGTTTTGTTGCGGGTAGTCATCATACAACACATAATATTTGACAGACGCCTGAATCATGTTTACCACATTTTCAAGATAAGCTTGCATTTATACTAGCTCTGAACAACAACATGTCGGTCTACCGAGCAAATACACCGGCATGAGGGATCTAGAAATTTAGGGATAGAATTTTTTATGGATAATTAAATAACAGCGAAGTAGTTGTGACGATAGGTAATTATGCCCTTATGTCCTTTGTCTTGGACTTGCAGACAGACTGCTATTGCTAGCCTATCTTTCGTTCAAAATTCGGGTGAGAATGTTGACGATTCATGTAGTTAATCGCTTCGGTAATCCCGCATATCCCACGCGCTCCCACGACGCTGTCATCTCGAAGGAGATAAAAGTCCGATCCAAAAAAGGCCTAATGAACAAATTTTGTTTTATTTGCATTGTCATTGACATAAAGGCTCAACCGGTCCAACCACCGCACTAGAGATAGGTGGAGATTTGGACCGAAATATTATATTTCTACTAGAGATGTCAAGGCACCAATGCACCAGCTCGTTGAGTTTCTCGCCGGATCTTCTCAGCGAGTCGCGATTCCGATCCAGTAGCAGATTCATTCGCGAAGCAGCTGCTCTCGAGTTAGGTCTCCTTCAGAGGCGCTCGGGCAGCTGTAAGCAAATCCCACCCCTCCTGGCTGAGCCTTTGCTCGCTCACTTTGTCCCGGTGAAACTGGAAAGGCCTTCGGGGCACCAGCTATCTTTCAATCTTAAAAAAAGTAGGAATATAAGTTTGAGAAAGTACCTGATTGAAATGCCGACCTCCGTCAAAGCGGAGATTTCGCTCGGCACTATTCATAGGGCACATTTAGCTATTTAAAATGCGAGTTAACACCATAAGTCTTGAAAATGAAACCAAGCCTGTAATTAATCCGGTCAAGCGCTACCTCGTGTCGTGAAAGATATCCAATGTATTGTAGTGATGAGTTGTCCCGCGCCGGGGTGCAGTCGGCTGCTATTGATTTTATTTGCAACATCATATGAGTTCATAGTTTACTTTTAGGATGACTCATCCGGTATACGGGTGAGATTGTTGTGTTCTGGACTAGGTTAATTCAAGAACATCGTGTGAACCTAAGAAATGTAGTATTAATAATGTTTTTTTCTGATGGTTAGCAACGAATTTTATTTAACAACACTTGGTAGTTCGTTGCCTAGTTTCGATAAATATTATTATTCTTCTTAAATACATTAAGGTGCGCTTTAAAATATTATTTCAAATCTAGTTAGGCGTGTCCGTCTATAATGACACGATAATTTAATTAAAGAAATAGAATATTCTAGAGTAGCAATGCTAGAAGTAACATTGTATAAGTATAAGGCACGGGTGATGGATAGGATTAGTATTTAATATTATTATTTAAATCAGTTATAATGTAAAGGACAAGGCAGTCGAAACCTTAATTCAATTAAACTCACCGCAAGGCTTATGGCGTCTAGGGCTTCCAAGAAGTTTTATAATATTAAATAAATATTATATATAAGCTACCACCATCGTGCCTATTTCAGCTGTAAAGCATACATCCGTTCCAATTTCGATCTTATGTCGTATGGTGGAAGGCTGCATTCGGGTTGTTATATCTCAGGACCTAATTAATACCAGATGAGAAATTAGTGTCTGGCCATCTAGATCAAATTTTTTTTTATTGCTTAGACGGGTGGACGAGCTCACAGCCCACCTGGTGTTAAGTGGTTACTGGAGACTCTAGACATCTACGACATAAATGCGCCACCCACCTTCAGATATAAGTTCTAAGGTCTCAAGTACAGTTACAACGGCTGCCCCACCCATCAAACCAAAGCGCATTACTGCTTCACGGCAGATATAGGCAGGGTGGTGGTACCTACCCGTGCGGACTCACAAGAGGTCCTACCACCAGTAAAAATAAAATAAAACACAAGTTCAATGTTAAAGAGAAAAGTCATTCTGACGAACGTAAGAAAGTATCGCGTGATTACGCACGATAATAGAAAATAAAAAAGTCTGTATTTATGTAAACCTTTCGCCGTTTGGGCTTACCGTAGCGTGAGTGGAACTCGTATAGGACGATCGGATCGAACCTAAGAATTTGATGACACGACCGTAAACCTATGATCGTCTGGTTTTATTGTTATGAGGTTCGTTTTTGTCATGTATATCTGTGGTCACAGATTATTCAGGGATTTAGAAATGTTAACAACGTTATTTTTTTTATAAATGCTATATATAAAGCAGGAGTGGCCAACTTGATTAGTACCAAGACCTACGATCTATTGACGAAATGAAGTTTTCTTGAAATTTAATGAAACCATGTAGTTCAGTATACCAATAAGTAGTATTATCTACTTTTAAAAAGAGAACTATTGTGTGGAATTGAGGATGAATAATGTGACGTGATGGTCATTAACAAATAGATAGATAGAAGATGAAGATGATGCGTGCAGCAATTGGTGATTACGTAGCGCAGTCTGTTCTGTGTTTATATTTTTTGTCTTGCCACGATCGACCAGTCGGTCGCGATCTACCGGTTGGCCACCCCTGCTATAAAGGAATCTTCTAGAACTAGCGAAATTTATTATGACGTGATAACGTCTTGTAATTTAATGAACACCGGCTGCACGCACGAAAAAATGTCACGTTCCGTCTTAACCTGCAAATAAACAGACTTTACAGACAATTAATATTTTTTAGTCAATCGGTCAACATCATCATTAATAGCTTATTATTTTTTTACTGGTGATAGGACCTCTTGTGAGTCCGCACGGGTAGGTAGTTGTTGCTTCACTTATTTATATATAGATATACTACATACAAAAAACAGTCGATACCGTTATCGTGTTTGGCCACGGGCAGCAGTGTATAATAAAAATAAACGTTAATTTTCAGCTTTGATCGAGAGTCGCGGCTGCGAGGAGGACTGCGAGGAGTTCTCGTGGGTCCTGAAACAGCTGATGCAGGAGAACATACCTGGCCTGCCGCCAGGTGGAGGTCTGGCCGCCAAGTAAGTACTAACTTAGCTTTTTATTTATTGCTTAGGTGGTTGGACGAGCTCACAGCCCACCTGGTGTTAAGAGGTTACTGGAGCCCATAGACATGTACAACGTAAATGCGCCACCCACCTTGAGATATAAGTACTAAGGTATCAAGTATAGTCAGCGGCTGCCCCACCCTTCAAACCGAAACGCGTTACTGTTTCACGGCAGAAATAATAAAAAATAATTTCAGGGCGGTGGTTCCTACCCGTGTGGATTTGCAAGAGGTCCTACCAAAAGTTATTACCCAAATTATAATTTTTCGAGTTTGATTTTTATTACACGATGTTATTCCTTCAACGTGGAATTCAATCGTGAACATTTGTTAAGTATGTACTTCATCAGAAAAATTGGTACCCGCCTGCGGGATTCGAACACCGCTGCATCGCTCGATATGAATGCACCGGACATATTATCCTTTAGGCCACAACGACTTGTTAGTGCAACAGATCCGAATGTAGCTAGAAACCGCAGCAACTCCTCCTGGCTGAGCTCTTTGCTCGCCCACCTGCCCTGGTAAAACTGGAAAGGCCTCCGGGCCATCAGTAATCTCTCAAATATAAAAAAGGTTGTTAATTGAGATTAGCCTCATGTGATAAGATAGGTCATGGCCTCTATTTGTTGTATTGAATAAGTGATTTACTCTAGACGACTCGTCTGACCTCTGTAACGACGCGACCAACTTCTTCAGCAGTCCAATTATTTTCTAAAATCACTCGTTCATTTCCAGACAAGCCCTTCTGGACCAGATATACAGGGAGTTCTATCCGGACCACGTCGACAGTTCGGAGAGGTTCAACTGTGAGGATCTAGCCGATTCTAATTAAGCGTATCACGAAACTGAACCGTACATCGCACATTGGTATGTAGACTTTAAGGACATCACCATAAAGTACTGTTTCGCTTAATCATGAATGAAACAATCTTATGAAGACAACTTATGTATGTAAAGCGTTAGATAATGGCGGATGTTTTTGTATTGCAGTGACGAGTCATTCGAGAAATAAAAGATCGATTAAGAATAGTCAGCTGTCTCGAACCTACTGTTGTGATATAAAACACATTGCCTCAAAACGTGTATGCTTATTTTTTTCTTTCTCGAAACATACAGATGTGTGGTGTATGATTCACTGCAGAATGTTAGTTGAATACAAGAAAGATTAGTACAAATCGAATGGAATTGCAGTTACATTGTAATGTGGGTAAATTTTCGCAATGTTGGCAACACTGCCAAAAAGTACAATGACATTGATAAAATTAATGTACGTGCAATATCGTTTGGCTTTTAATTAAATCATCCGCTGTTGCAATTCGTCCGTGTTGGTTGTCGTCAATGTTGCCAGCTTTGTAAAATAAGCTAATCGACCATAGAAACTTTGACCATAGATATTGTATTGTTGTCTATGAATGTTGTTTCGTAACGGCAATGTCGACGTGGCCGCAAAATATTCCCGTACGACCGATGTAATGTGTGTAAATCTTAAATACTCTTATCAATGCTGTGGTGTGGCGTCATAATAATATATATTTTTGTCTATTTTAAAACTTTACCTAGCCATCCACGGCAATCTGGCATCCGTTACACTATTCTGAGAAGTATCTTGCGAAACAGACTTGGCACAAATAACTATGATTTTTTTTAGTGTTAATAAAATCTATATTAAATAAAATATCTATTATCAAGTAATAATTAAACCTGGCAAGTGGCGGGTTCTGTAGTCGGCAAAAAATAAGGTTTGAAATTGAAAGTAAATGATAAATTTTAATTATTCAGTTCACGACTCGTTTCATTGTATTTTTTTATTTAAACACATTTTGTAGTTCTAGTTTTGTTCGTGTTTAACATTGGCCATTTAATTGATGTCATAATTTTATATTGTGTAATATAGAGTGAATTTTAAGAAAGTTTTTAGCGATTTTCTGTTTTTGTGACGTCAAAATTCTATATAGTCTATGGTTCAAGATGGCCAGTCACCTTGTAGCGTTTAAAATAAATGTTTATTCATCTACAAAGGAGCCTAAAATAATGGCTTAGGATGTTTGTCGGTTTATATAAAATATTTATAACAGTACCCTACAATGTTTTTTGTACATATTTTTCTAAACAACAGTAGTCTCTATTCAAAATGTCCGAACTTGTAATTGGGCCCTGGCATGCAGAACATATTTCACAAAATATTGATACTTTGGTATTATATTGTGTTCACAAATATTGCCTTTCAAATTCATTTGTCGAATTTAATAATTCGACCACTGCTTCATAATAAATACAACAAACATCACATTTGAGGGTAACATTTCTGAAAATCGATCAAATGAACTAATTTGGAATTAATACGTACTTGTTTTAAAGTATATTTTAGAATAAAACGAGTAAAATTATATTTCTAGCACCTTAAGACTAGGATTTTCCACAAAACTTGACTTGTAGGTGGAAAATTGGTTCAATCATTGTTCTCCAAAACAGTATTTCTTCCATCAGTGCTTTTATACATAAATATACATTTGGTAAGTATGAACTGAATATTCAACACTGTAAAAAAAATGTCGATTCAATCTTTTCTGTTTCGTGGGCCCTAATTGTTTTGAGAGATTATAATATTTGGGAACTGGACAATCTAAGATTAATGTTTTTTTTTTTCGATTTGTACATCAATGAAATGTAATTTAAAAAAAAACTGCATACACCTCTTTGGACGAAAATGCTTCCATAAATTTTTTGCTTTACATTGTTACTACGTGTTTTATTTCTTTTTAAATTTGCTTTTAAAAGTTTTGCTTTTGTACTTAGAAGAAATACTATTAGATTTAATATTCTTTGTCACGTAGAAAACTGACTTACAGTGTATGTAGGTACAGCCATATAAAGATAAACATGAAAATACTATGAGACTATAATATAATATACATACATAAACATTACTTGTTATTATATTTTATAATGAACATGATATTATAAGATAAATATTTTAATTATACAGTACAAAAAAAATATATATTATGTAATGTTAGTTCAAATTTTTCTTTATTTAAAAATTGTATAATATGGCTGGAACCGTTTAAAAAGGGACTCTGTTACCAAATCGAATTGTATCAAATAAAAATTAACAAAACCTGTAGTTTCCTTCCTGTAAATAAAGAATTAAAAAAAAAGAAATCACTTTTCCTGTTGCATGTTTTATGTTATATATGAGGTGACACTTCAAAAGGGAATTTTCACAACCTGTGTAAATCTATACTAATATTATAAAGCTGAAGAGTTTGTTTGTTTGAACGCGCTAATCTCAGGAACTACTAGTCCGATTTGAAAAACTCTTTCAGTGTTAGATAGCTCATTTATCGAGGAAGGCTATAGGCTATATAACATCACGCTAAGACCAACGCAGGCGGAGCACCAATAAATAATGTTTTAAGATCGGGGTCTTTTTTACCTTTGAGCTTCCGCTGCATGCGCTGCAGAAACGGTTAAAGTTTCGCTAAGATAATGTATGACAGAATTATTCCCCTTTAAAAGATCTAAAAAAAAGTCCGCGACAGCATATGTCTATATGTTAAGGTTGGCTCACTATATCGTTGTTTATGCTGACCAAATTTGTTCTAAAATAAAGCATTATTTGTGAACTATTCCACGCGGACGAAGTCGAGGACAAATGCTAGTAGATGATAAAGATAACAAATTAGTTGTTTGAATAATAATTTAATTGTTAATTTAAGACAAATTCCTAATTCGGATTCAGAAAGGATATCGAGTAAAAAAAAAAGAGTTAGAAGTAATAATTCAAAGAATTAATGAATTCCTTTTGAGCAGTGTGCGCATCAAAAACGGCCCGGTTGTGTGAGTCGTCCGATTCTTCGGGCTTGCGACGTCGGACCTGCTTCATTTTCCAAGTCGTGCTGGCTTGCACGGCTCGCTGTGAATCGAAACACGATTTCATTAATAAACTACAATTGAATGCGCCTATTAAAACAGGTTATATTAGTACTTGTTATATTGTAACTATACTGAGACCTTAGAACTTATATCCCAAGGTCGGTGGCGCATTTACGTTATAGATGTCTATGGGTTCCAGTAACCAATTAACACCAGGTGGGCCGAGAGATCGTCCACACATATATAGGCTATAAAAAAAAAACTTGTGATGATTTCTACTGGTGGTAGGACCTCTTGTGAGTCCGCGCGGGTAGGTACCATCACCCTGCCTATTTCTGCCGTGAAGCAGTAATGCGTTTCGGTTTGAAGGGTGGGGCAGCCGTTATAACTATACTGAGACCTTAGAACTGATATCTCAAGGTGGGTGGCGCATTTACGTCGTCTATGGGCTCCAGTAATCACTTAACACCTGGTAGGCTGTGAGCTCGTACACCCATAAAGCGATTAAAAAAGAAAATTGAGTTGAATGCCATTTCTCCAAAAAAAAAAACTTGATACTTAATTATGATTTTGTTTGACCCCTTGAACGAAGCGGGACAGTTGCAAGATTATATTATCGAAAGATAGTCCGTTCGTTAAGCAGCGCGGTCCCAATGACGATTTTTATCTTTGCAAATATTTTTTTCTTTTAATTGTATTCGCATTGTTAATAACTTACCTCTTTACGCTCTTTATAAATGTCGTCTCTATAGGATTTTGCTTGCTTCGTCTTAAGACGCTGCCCTTCTAAAGTGTCGGTGTACCTAAACATCCAACATAGTAATAGAACTTGACAAGGATCGAACCACAGTGTGCTTAGCACTAAGAAATACAAGACATAAAACGAAAACAGATAGTAGCTGACTTCCTTACGGGGCAATGACCCCGCGGATCTTTTGATTTACATTTACGGGTGTTACATTGCGTACTGTAAAAATGTAAGATTTTCACATAAGCTTCGAACTAAATATAAATATACAAAGACAAAACAGTTCAGTAGGTCCGTCCTCGCCAAGTTATTCAGGTTATAATGCACATTAAAATTGACTTTGACTACATTGATGATATTCTCATTTTATATACTTTGTTGATATCGGTTTTCTCTTCAGTTTTAGCACGCCTGAACAGTATAAGTTAAGCGATAGAATTGCGATTTCGATCTTATGTATCTAAATGTGTAAGTACTTTTTGGAACGAAGGGCTACCCTAACCGGGAAAAAACGTCCGTAACATAAGGTTTTTATTAGTAATGCACACAGTGTACGACTTAACTTTGTAATAACGTACAAAAAATAACATATTTTTTTATCATTCATTGACCACGATCTCAGAGCGTTCGTTTGCGCAATACACTAACTCTTAACAACCGTGAATGAAGTGTACCACAATAAGTTTGCACGCTACCGAATGACCGTGGGTTGTTGCGAAACCTCCGGTTTTATTTTCTTTATACCTCGAATAGAGCTTGAAATTAATATTTTTCTAGATTCACCGAACTAGTAGGTGAGCTCACGGGGTTCTCACTCTGGGAAGAGTAACGACATTTACGAAATCACTCAAGATCAAGGTGGCTCATGAGCTCGTCCACCCTCGAGTGGAATTATTATAAAATACCTCATCACGCCATTCCGTATACTCCGTCTTCCGTGTTACGTGATTTTGTAATTGATAGTAAAGTAAATGGGATACGATTTCTAAAGCCCTCACTTGTACTGAAGTAGTTTATGAGCTAGAAAATGTATAGGGTTTTTTGGTTTCTCGACGGCCACGGCGTGCAGAGCTTCCGGTAGAACACCTCCGAAGCTCGTCCACAGGTACTCTGCTGCTTCCGGAGGTAATTTAACTAGAAATAGTAACTTCATTAGGTGGTTTTAATTGAATTACGTACTCAGCTTGTGATTCTGTTTTAAATATGTAAAATTAAAAAGGCGTTTGTCTTAGATCTGTGTCGAGCACTTGATAAGTAGATAAATAGTGAAATTATTTGAGCCTTCACGATCCATTCCTGAAGACGCCGTTCGTTCCCAATGCGAGTAGAGGAATTCACGTGCTGCCCAAGAGCTCTTTCTTTAAGGCACTTTACATTTGGTCGATCAAGAGCGACGTAAAGAGTGCCGTGATGAGCTCAAGTCATTGTCATATTCATGACAATTAAAATAATGCGAAAACTATTTTTGCCATTAATTTTTTTGCAGGGGGAAATATTATTAAGGGACGGGAAATTAAGGGTCAAAGGAATTTAGTAAAGTTACTACTTTACCAAAGTAAAGTAAGAAATTAGTAAAACCTTAAGCGTGTAACGCGAAAAACATATTTTTTAATAACCATATACGGGAATGTATCCCTCTTCAAGACAATTTGAAGTTACCTACATTAGTGGTCACGACGCTTTAGACAACAAATGTAGTCAAACGAATCAACTAACTGTTGACGTCATTTTCATGTACCGGGGGTTCCTCGACAGTATCCTTAAAATCCAATCTGCACTTTTCGTTCGCCTTCTCCGAATGACCACAGTCTTGAGTTATTTTTTTAAAAAGTTCATTTTCATCAAGGACGTATTTGCTCGTGCACGGTGCGCATTGATAAATCTTGTTTCCATTCTCTAAAGTGTATCGCCCTGATAAATCGTGGTAATAGGCTTGCTTCTGTATCTGGGGGAGGATATATAAACAATACAGTGTGCTCAATGCGTTTTTAACGTTCTCGATAGCGTAAAAGTTAACTCAAATTTGTATGCAGTTGGAACAGCGCCCCTAGTGGCAAACGCAGGCAAACGTTCCAACTCCATACAAATTTGAGTTAACTTTTACGCTATCGAGAACGTTTAAAAACACTAAGCACACAGGACTTAGTCGTCCATTCGGTGACAGTGAAGTCAATAGTCCGCAAAATTTTAATACCCATGGTCAACTTGAGGAATTTTTCTATTGAAACCGAAGGTTAATGTGTCTATGACCTACATAGAAGGCGCTCACCGTAGCTTTGGAAGAATGCAAAAAGCCACTAATTTCCACTGAGGACCCTTCAAACTTCGCTTGAAGTAGTGGAACTAACTTTACTCCGCTTGAAATAGTGGAACTAACTTAGTGGTGTGGTGTGTGTGGTGGCGCTGGTTGTCCAGAGATGTTCGTATATCGATACTACTCAAATGTTACTTGGTGGAATATAATCTAATAACGATTATTCATTAGTAAGAAATTGTAATGGTGTCCGCATACTTTTGATGATTTTAAATTGTAAAATGAACGTGTAAATACTTAACTTATTACGTAAATGCGTAAATACACGTACGTGTGAAATGTACGAAATAGTGGGTACTATTTCGTTAATTAATTTCTGAATTTTAATCTCTATATGGATTTATTTTTGAAGTTCATAAAAGTACTAGTGAAAAAAATTCACCTCCTTAAACTTCCCAGCGCAGTCAATATGATACATGTCCAATCCATAGTTGAAGTAATAAACTTTGTGATTGTATTCATCAACATAATAGGGTCCTACATTATCTGTATAGTAAATTCTATTTGTACCTAAAAATTTAATTTAATAGGTACATACGATTATGTTGTATTGAATGTTTGTAGGTAGGATTTAAAATGTATCACGCGGGTACGTTATAAAAATTAATGCTCAACTTTTACTGTTTGATTACAAAGAACATAATAGGGTGACTATCTACTTTGACAACGCTTGGCAAAGGTTCCCATAGAAATGAACGATTATAGTCAAAATCAAAAGTTAGAAATGACGATAAACATCTCAAAAACTACCGTCCTAAACACGTCATTACGGATCCTCCCGATCCATTAACGGGGCTTTTAGGTATCTCAAGCACCGGTCACCGTCCTCGCCGAACCCGTCGCTTGCGACGAAGGGCTCGACGAGTAAATTAACCCATAGAAACAGCCCACTCAGTTTTTCGCCGGATCTTCTCAGTGGGTCGCGTTTCCGATCCTGTGGTAGATTCTGCGAAGCACTGCTCTTGCTAGGGCCAGTGTTGGCAACACTCCCGGTTTGAGCCCCGCGAGCTCACCTACACGTCAAGGCGAAGCTGAAATAGCTTCTCAAGGCTATCAGCACAGGTAGGAAAGAAAAAAAGACTACCCAATAAATTTTATCAAACTATAGCTTTTATGTTCTATCATTTAAAAATTCTCCAGAATTTTCGGAATATAATCGAAAAAATGTACGGACAATACATTTTTTACAACTTGCAATGTAAGTATCTGGTGTATCTAAGTAAGTATATCTGATATGATTCGAATAACTAAATTAGATGGAATAGAGTTTTAAAAAAAACATGTAGAAGAATAAAAATCTGCGATTTTAGATAGGTAATGTGCATTGCTATCTAGGCATAAGGTTATGTCTTTTCATAGAGCCTAAACTATTTAGCAATGCTTTAAACAACATAGACAGTTACGATCCATATAATGTTTCACCGGCGTTCACAGAACGAATACTTAATTTGAACCAGAGGTTTTAATATCAATAATAGCCTTAAGATATAATATATATTTGATAACTTTGCCTCAAACAGAAATTTATTTATTAAATATATTTTTTTATAGGAGCTGCATCGACAACAAACGAAATCAAGTTATAGGTATTTTTTTATATTTTCCAGAATTTCTATAAATTAAACGGTTGTCTGGAAGAGATCGCTTTTAGCGATAAGACCTCCTATTGTACAAATGTATCTGTTTTTTTGATTGTTTTTTTCAATGTAAATTATGTTTTGGTGTGCAATAAAGTGTATTCTCTCTCTCTCTCTCTCTCTCTATGTTCTCGATAAACCAGTCAATAGTTAATATCTGCAGGTTATCACAGCACCGTTACGATAACTACCAACAAAAACATAAAAAATTAAAACCTCTGCAAGAGAAGAAAGTCAGAAGAGCTTTCGCTGCGTCAGCTATTTTCATATTCAAATATTGCTTTCGTTCTTTGTAGTTATTACCCATATTCTTCCAACACTCAAGCTTAGGGCCCGGTTTCTCATTTATTCTAAAACGATTTTATTAACAAGTAACAACAACAAACAAAAACTAACAATAAATGTAATAAATACTTTTTGGCGGGAACGTGAGGAGTGAAGTTGTGTGATTTGTTTTTTTTTGTCTATTTAGTGTTTCTTCAGGTTGAAATGTGTAATAACGGTGGTTTACTAATTGTTTAATATCTGTGAAAGTGCACAAATGTGGGAAAATGAAACAAAGCCGCTGGACGTAACTTCTCGGGATCCTACAAAAAGTCCACTAAAAAATCTCAGTAAATGACCACCATTTTACTGAGATTATATTTCATCCCATCTCATTTCATTTAATTTCATCCCAGTTGATTAATGTCTCAAATTAATCATCTCCATATCATTTCATTTCATTTCACTCCATATTATAATTTTTCATAATAATAAGAATATAAAATAAAATAAGACATGACTAATTAAGGTCTTAGTTACAAAGTCATAAAATGTATCTATATTAGTCTCTGGTACTCGCAGTACAGATGATCGTTTCACTTGTCTCTGGTTGTGATTAATCTACAATTTTAAGCCTTCAAAAGGCGCGAAATTCTTCATTGAAGGAACATTGTCATTTTATTTAAACACTACATAAGATATTCTTGTGAAATAAGATTATTTGAAATCGTGTACCTCAAATTATTGTATACATCTTCTTCTTTAACGATCGTATCAAATTCAGTCTTCAGTTTAGTGAGTAAGTCGGCGCATTGATTAAAATCCGTAATACGTTTCTCCCAAAATGAAACTTCTTGCTCCAAACGTGAAATGTGCACGTTGGTTTCACGATTTTCAATCTTCTCTTGCATAATTTCTATACCTTTTCTAACCTTGAAAAACAAGTTTTTAGTATCTTCCCGGTTTTGGTGAGTTGTAGAAATAATATATAAGTATTCGAAACTTCGGACATATTATTATATAATGATGATGAATGATTAAAAATATGGAAGATTAACTCGTAACAGTTGTTTTGATAAGGTATATTTTTTAATTCACGATTTATTGTGGGGAAAAGCAGAACCCAGTCATCGAAAGCTCTGAAGCGATTCCGATCCGGTGGTAGATTTTGCAGAGCACTGCTCGTGCTACGGCTAGTGTTAGCACACTCTCTCAGGCTGAGTCCGATAAGCACACCTACCAGACATAGCGTGGCTGGAATAGCCCCTTAAGCTTCCAGAGAATAGGTAGGGTTAAAAAATTCCATTCCAAAATACGCTATATATTTTAGTCCAGTCGATTAAAGAGTTCAATCTCATAGTCTTTCTGACAGTATTTAAAATATTGAGGTTTTAAAGTCCGTACCCATTACTTTTTTTCCATATGCTTGTTGATTTATAGTAGCATATGTCTTGAGCCGACACGGCTCTTACCAACAGGGACACTCTCCCTGCACCCCTGCTTAAGCATCCGATCCTCCGAGATCAGAGCCCGGGCGTGGTAAGAGGGTTACTTGTCGCTTGGCGGCTACCAACAGGGACCGGTGCTATCCTTTTTTTTTATTGCTTAGATGGATGAATGAGTTCACGTCTAGCTGAAATTAAGTTGTTACCGGAACTCATAGATATCAACCAGGTGATGCCCTCCTACTTTGAGACATTAGTTCTAAGTCTCAGTACTATAGTACGGTTATCTCATCCTTGTCACGCTCTATTTAGATTTTGACCTCATGTCCCATTACTGATGAACGGGTTACCCATCCATTGTGCTTAGTGTGAGTTTTTTAACGTTCTCGATAGCGTAAAAGTTAACACTAATTTGTATGGACTTAGAACATTTGCTTACGTTTTTCGTTAGGGGCGTTGTTCCAACTGCATACAAATTTGAGTTAACTGTTACACTATCACATCACAGCCAGAGTCCCGCAAGGCTCCGCCCTCTCCCCGTTACTATTCAGTTTGTATATCAATGATATACCCCGGTCTCCGGAGACCCATCTGGCGCTCTTCGCCGATGACGCCGCCATCTACTACTCGTGTAGAAAGAAGGCGTTGCTTCATCGGCGACTTCAGACCGCAGCTACCACCATGGGACAGTGGTTCCGGAAGTGGCATCAACCGGAAATCGACATCAACCCCACGAAAAGCACAGCGGTGCTCTTCAAAAGGGGTCGCCCTCCGAACACCACGTTGAGCATCCCTCTCCCGTCTAGGCGCGTCGACACCTCCGCCTCCGCCATTCGCCCAATCACGATGTTCGACCAGCCTATACCGTGGGCCCCGAAGGTCAAATATTTAGGCGTCACCCTCGACAGAAGGATGACATTCCGCCCTCATATTAAGACGGTACGAGACCGTGCCGCCTTCATTCTAGGACGTCTCTACCCGATGATATGCAAGCGAAGTAAAATGTCCCTTAGAAATAAGGTGAGACAATACAAAACTTGCATAGGTACGCCCCGTCATGACCTATGCAAGTGTAGTGTTCGCTCACGCGGCCCGCACTCACTTAAAATCCTTCCAAATCATTCAATCCCGTTTTTGCAGGATAGTCGTCGGAGCCCCGTGGTTCGTCAGGAACGTCGACCTCCATGACGACCTGGACTTATAGTCCATCAGTAAGTATTTACAGTCGGCGTCGATGCGCCACTTCGATAAAGCGGCACGACAAGAGAACCCTCTCATCGTGGCCGCCGGTAACTACATTCCCGATCCTGCGGAAAGAATGGAAAGCAGTCGACGTCGCCCAAAACACGTCATCTCGGATCTTCCCGATCCACTAACGGTGCTTCTAGGTACTCCAAGCACCGGTCACCGTTCTCGTCGAACCCGGCGCTTGCGACGAAGGGCTCGACGAGTAAATTAACTCTCAGACACAGCCCACTGAGTTTCTCGCCGGATCTTCTCAGTTTGTCGCGTTTCCGATCTGGTGGTAGATTCTGCGAAGCACGACTCTTGCTAGGGTTCGTGTTAGCATCGTCGTCAGGTTTGAGCCCCGTGAGCTCACCTACTAGTTACGGTTACGCTGGAATAGCCTCTTTAAGCTACCAGCTTAGGTAGGGAAAAAAAAAAGTTACACTATCGAGAACGTTCAAAAACTCGGACTAAGCAGACTGATCAATAAAAAATCTTTTTTAAGCAACTTAGTAGATACAGTATCATTTGTTCCAATGTGTACTATTGTTTAAAATACAGTATATAATTTTCTTAATACCACAACACTAACTTCCGCTTCCTCCATGGAGTAACGCTTGTACGATCTATTTATAAACAGCTGTTCTTTATTCTTGTCGTATAGCTCATTGAGTAGCCCGTTTAATACCTCTTCCTCCTCGTCCCGCATTAGCTGGAGATTGTTTCGAACACGAAGGAGTATCTCTTCAAGGCTGACACGGATCTGGTATAACTGTGAAAATTGATAATTTTTTATAATAATGAGATTGTTAGTTTATATTTTCCTACTTAATTGCTGGTAGCCTAAGTGGCTATTAAGTAAATAGGCCAGAGAAGTAGTCTATAAGCAACAACCATTAACTTGGTACTCGATCATGGATTAAGGATCAAGATGCGTGCCTTAATGGTTAAAAAGTTATGTATCTTCTTCATCATCATCATCTCAGCCTATAGCTGTCAACTGCTGAACATAGACCTCTGCAAACGGTCTCCAGTGCGGCCGGTCCGTTGCCACCTGTATCCAACGTGACCCAGCGATTTTCACTAGTTTGTTAGTCCATGGTAAGTGGCAGAGGCGGATTATCCGTAAGGCAAACTAGGGACGTACCTAGGGGCGTGTAGTTACAAGAGGCGCGCGAGCTCAGAATTTTAAAATAAATAAAGAAAATAACATATCGAAGATTAAGAACTAAATGCCTGAACTAAATGTCCTGGTCTACTAAAGTCTAGGGTTTGATGATACAACGTCATCGTAATTGCAAAAACACATTACACTAGTTAAATTTTATAGTATTATGATGGCCATTTGTGGCCGGTACAGGGGCGCCGATAAAGTGATTGCCTAGGGCGTTCTGGACCTTTAATCCGCCACTGGTAGGTGGCCATCCCACACTGCCTTATTGCCCTTAGATAGATAATAAAACCTACTTAAATTGAAATAGCTATATTACGTTACAAGGAATTTTATTATCCTCCTACGCAAAGGAGTACACGCCTCATCTGATGGTGAATAACGTCACAAATGGACTTAAGTAACCACGTGTTTTATTTTTTACCTAAAATCGTCTGTGGAGGGCTACTCGAATAAAAAGATTTTGATTTTGCGTTGTTTTTTTTTCCTTTATGTAATGAATAACAGTATTAAGTTAATTTATCACACTCTATTTGCCGTTGGAAACACGTATAGTGTTACCGGATAGGTACCCAGTAGGTTTTAGGTATTATACTTACACGATCCGCTACCATCATACCAATAAATATATGCACAAAATGAAACAAGTCACTAGATTTTTTCAATGAAAACTGAAAATGGTTTGATTTTGCAAATTCGTCTATTTGTTCTTTCTTATTTAATTGCTCCAATTTCGATTGAAATTCTTTTAATTTACATTTAAAAATATCATATTTGCTTTCTATTTCTTCATAAATTTGTTTTTCGATTGGTGCTTTTATTGGTAAATAATCATTAGCAAAATCAATTTGATTTTTTTCGTGTATCGAAACTGTCTTTTCCATTAAATTTATCAAGTCATCTTTACACAATACGTTAGTATATTTATCTACTTCTAAGGTAACCTCGTCGATAGTTTGAATAAAGTAATTCATGAAAGTGGAGACTACTTTTTTAACATCAGCATAATATGTGTGATACAATCCATCCTCGAAAGGTACGTCTCGTAATAAACAAATATATTCTTTTAATTTGGGCGATAAATCTTCGTGCAAGAATAAATACACATCTTGTAGGTTGTAATTTCGAAGACGATACAAAAATTCTTTGTATATATCCATAGCGTGTTTGTTGGCACTGGCGTCGTTTCGAAAGGACGCCGTTATTTTGACAGCTTTTAAGAAAAAGTTCCACTGAAGTATGAAACCTAAAAAGTTTGTTTCACCACAAATCATCATATTTGTCAATATCAATCGAACAACTTAGGTACTTAAACAGTATGATGTAGGTTTGTGACCTTCATAAACTTTATTGAAGTGAAATATCTTTTGGTTTTGCATTTATATTTTGTAGACAATTGAGATCTGTATTTTATTTTACACTACGAGTATAAACTGGATGTCCAAAGTTAATGTCATTACTCAAATATTTTTTTGGTCAGGAGGAAATCGCCTGACTCCCACCCTCCACTGGGGTTGGAGGGCGGGGCATGTCGGAGTCGAACCGACTAAAACCTCCTGTCGCTCAACAACCCACGTCCGAGCCTCGCATGAGACAGAACTCATGAAAAGGCAAAAGGGCGGAAAGTGAAGCGTTTAATGCGGAGCACATCTCTCCCCTCACCCTCCCACCCGTAGTAGATTCATTCGCGAAGCAGTTGTTAGGTCTCCTTTGGAGGCGCTCGGTCAGCTGTTAGCGAATCCCACCACTCCTGGCTGAGCCTTTGCTCGCCCATCTGTCATGGTGAAACTGGAAAGGCCTCCGCGCCACCAGTAGTACCATATATCAATCGTAAAAAAAAAAACTACTTGAAAATTTTACAAGCTCGATGCTGGCAATAATGGCAATGCAAGTAGCCACATTGGAAAATAAAGAAAATTTTGATAATCTATGCTATTTATTATACAGCCACAGATTATACAATAATATGTAAGCAAACACCAATGGACTCTCGAATTATCTGTCAGTAATCAGAATTTTATCGAAAACACCTGAAAATATGAATGATAACACGTGCTCTAACACTATGTTGCACTTTGCCCTTTATATATAGACGTTGAAATTCGCGAAGGTGATTTCACGTTACACCCGGATTAAATTTCGAAGAAAAAAACCGGCATTCAGGTGCGTTTCTAAGTAACTTCATATAATACTTAGCAAAGTATGTTAAAAACACACTATTTACTAATAGTATCCATGCTAGTACTTCAGACAGACAGACATCTTAGTTATCGGTTTATGTAATTATTTGTGAGTTCAAGTATTATTAGTGCAAAAGATTTTTTTCGAATATTTGTTTTTGAGCGGTATTGGTGTTTACATCTGTGCAACCCATCGATAATGTACGTGACAATCATCACAAAGCCTTAGTGGCCAGGGTCAGGCGCCGATCACCGAACACTTCGTATTTTAACTATTGACCTAGTTTTGATTTATGTAATACGATACTTGACAAAGTTTACGAATAACACATTGTAATTTATCATTTATTCTATAGATGTATTGAAAAGATAAGACGTTTTCCTTCTGTTTTGGAATGAAGACCAAATATAATTGAAGTAAAAAGCATTGAAGTATAAACAGTAAAATGACGAGATATTTCGAAAATACTTCGGTCTTTAACTTCAGTTGGGATCAAGTTGCGCGTGGTTACTGGAGGAGATACCCAAATCCGCAGAGGTTAGTTAAAATGTGTTTAGCAAATATTTTTTAAAGTTTTTTTTAAATGTTTCGTTATGAAAAAAGACAAAGGTGCATCAAGGAAGTTAAAACCGGTATTGTTGTTACTCTGACAAATACCTGTTTGTATTTTTTTTTAGAACATACTACAGAGAGACAAACGTTCTTTAAATATCATTTGAATGTCAGATATAATTATTGTATGATTTTGAATTCTTTATGTGATTGATTCTTTAGAAGAAAAATTTAATTAAAACTTCCTTTTTTATTTCTTTTCCAATTCTATGTAATTGTCAATTGTTATTGTAATATGGGTACAGTAATAAATTGATTATTAAATTCAATAAAATTTCAGTATAGTCACTATAAATAAAATTGTTTGTTATTATTTGAAACAATATTCTTCAAGCTAGTTTTTAGTGTTAGTAGATATTACTTAAAGCATGCATGCATGGTTGGATATCATCACTATAGGAGTAGTCATGCCACAAACCATGCCTGTATTTTTTTGAATGATGGAATAGTTAGAAATTATTACATTACTGAGAATTCCACCTTATGTTTTGGTTTATGGTAGAACAGCTCACTATGTGGTGTCTATGAGATCCACACTTAACAGCACTTGAGCTTAAATAAGCTGCTAATATAGTAAATCACAATTTACTTAAATGAACTTAACTACTTCATAAAAGCCTATAAAAATATAGTTTTTTTGTCATGTTCTTTAACAATGTTCTTTTTGACATTCAGAAACAAATTATTATGTATTATGCATGTAAATTGTATGAACTTAATTTCATGTTTCACCCAGTACTCACGTCCTATCTGAAGATACATGGAGCCGACAGGTTCGCGACGGTTGTCTTTATACAAAGCGGCTCCTGACTAAAACCAACAGAGTTCCAAAATGGGGTGAAAGGTGAGTAGTAATAATCTGTAGTATTCTAAACCAACCAATTTCAATTTGCAAGGCTAAAAAGCTGCTTGTAGTTAATTCAAAATTTTGAAGATATTTCCTTGCAATCTTAAAGATTGATTCGTTTTTAAAATTCTAAGTAGCATGCAGTCGATCTGATGAAAAATAGTCACTCTGACATTGGACACTCACTCATACTGCTAGGGAAACAAGTGTGATTTTAGTTCAAAATTGGATTTAATTCTTTGCCAATAAATTTCCAAAAATCAAATGACAAATTTTTCATTTTAAAAATACAGTAAGAATGATTGGTTCGCTCATATTAGTATTTAGCCAATCCATACCATCCTGTATATTAATTATACTAGTTAGTTTTCATGACAGCAAACAAAAATTTCCAACCGGAGATGAACAGAAAAACTTAAACTTGCTAATTGTCAGGTGAGATGGGAAAAGTCTGTCAAAGAAAGATCTGGTGTTAAATGATTCAAGTGTGCTGGCTATCAAAACCTTTGGCAGACACAAATATTTCTCTGTATATGTGAAATATATTTTTATGACCGACTAAAATGATCTAGTAACATTGTTTATAAAAATCAAACCTGCAAAATTGACTAATTTTCATGACTATGACTTATTATTGCCTTATAAAATGTGGTTTCTACTACTGGGATATGAGTATATCCGAAATGTGATTGTTAAATCACTTTAAGAAGAAGTTGTTCACTCATGACTTAGATAGAATTGAGTAAATTAGTAATCAAATGCTATAATTTTTTACATTGTATGTAAAAAAACTATTTATTATATTAATTGAATATTTAGTAACAAAAATACTATACATAAGTGTTATTTTTCTGCATTCTTCTATCTTTAATTTGGTGTACTTGAAATATGCCATAGATTTAAAGACGCATATGGGCGGTCATCTAATGTTTTATTTATTTAGTAACAGAATAAATTATAGTTTGTCATAAAATGTGAGTTGTTGTCTCCAGGTGGAAAATGCCATTCACATTCTGGTGTCATTGGTCTCTTAACATTAGATGAACGGTCAAATCGTTAATTTCTCTATGCAAAAAATACATTAAAAATATCGTTTTATCATAACCATTATAAAAAAATAAACTCGCTAGTTGTTCAGTCTGATCGAGTCATGCAAATGTACCGCGACTAATGTTGTAAACAGCCTTTCAAGGTTGTATCGCATACCTTCACAATTAGACATGTTTGTCTGCCTTATGAAGAAGCATTGTTGTTGTAATTAAGACCTTGTTCGAGGTTGCAGAGGATTTTAGAATCCTACATTTATCAGGTTGGACTGTTAAATGTGGTAATTTTTACTGGTGGTATGACCTCTTGAGCATCCGCACGGGTAGGTACCACCACCCCGCCAATTTCTGCCGTGAAGCAGTAATGCGTTTCGGTTTAAAGGGTGGGGCAGCCATTGCAACTATACTGAGACCTTAGAACTATCTCAAGGTGGGTGGCGCATTTACGTTGTAGATGTCTATGGGCTCCAGTAACCACTTAACACCAGCTGGGCTGTGAGGACTCATCGAAGCAATAAAAATGAAAATAAAAAATGTGGGATTTTTACCTTAGTCATGGATGGATGCCGGACGGATTCACCCGGGGAATAGGCGGGAGTGCTCTCTGAGTATTATACCAACGTACTGTGATCGTAATTTTTTTATTACTTAAACGATTGGACGAGCTCTCAACCCAGCTGGTGTTAAGTGGCATTTGCTGATTGTAGAACGTATTAAAAGCAAGCGCGGGTAGGCAGCATCAACTTGCTTGTTTCTGCCCCGAATCAGTCATGCCTTTCCACAACCTCAAAGGACCTCCTGATGAACAAGCGAAATATTTCATGTACCTATCTAAATATTGTGCTATTTTTAACCACAACAATTAATAATAATGTGACATGTTGATAAACTTATCGGCGGAGTATATCTTATCGTGCCACGTATGTGACTGATACAGCTAATAAACAAAGTGCCAGCTGTGATACGTCATGGCGAAGGAAGGTACTGGAATAACCGCGATCATGTACGATTTCTTCCCGGCAAGTATAGATAGGACATTAGATTTAGTTTAACTCGTTGCCCGAATCTATACAAAAATTTTATTGCCAAAGCCATATTATGCCGATTCAGTTTATTAGAATTCTGGTTCCAATGATTGAAGAAATAGAAAATTTAGATTTAAAAAAAAAACATAATAATAATAACTGGAAACACATCGTGCATGGTCATTAGACCCCAATTTCGGAGTCCCTGTGTTATGGGTACCAGAGACTGATAAATATACCTATAAATGTTCAAATATATGTATACCTATGTAGACAATAAACACCCAGACAAAGAGCAAACAAACCTGTTCATCACACAATGTTTGCCCGATGTGGGAATCGAACCCACGACCCTCGACGCAACAGCTGATGCTTAGGTTAGGTTACACGTCGAACTCTTTGCTGAGTTCGACGAGTATGGTTACCGGGGTGCGGACTTTTGGGCCGCGATACCAATCCGGTGGTAGATTCTGTAAAGAACTGCTCTTGCTAGGGTTAGTGTTAGCAAATGCTCTAAGGTTAAGCCCGGGAGCTCACCTAACGGAAAACACGGTCTGTTATTGTGTTGAAATTTATAGTCCATACATGAACGCGTATACCACATGTTGGCGCCGTTGCGATGAGATGTTGGGTGCAAGCCTTATTCGAATAAAAGTGGACTGTATTTAAGATTGGGTTATCAATCGGATTAAAGTTTGCACCATTTTACGGGACCGACAATGATTGTGCGTTTTTTTTCCTACCTATTCTAGTAACCTCGAGGGGTTATTCTAGATTCGCCGAATTAGTAGGTGAGCTCACGGGGCTCAAACCTGGCGATGTTGCTAACACGAACCCTAGCAAGAGCCGTGCTTCACAGAATCTACTACCGGATCGGAAACGCAACCCACTGAGAAGATCCGGCGAGAAACTCAGTGGGCTGTGTCTGTGGGTTAATTTACTCGCCGAGCCCTTCGTCGCAAGCGACGGGTTCGACGAGAACGATATCCGGTGCTTGGGGTACCTAAAAACACCGTTAGTGGATCTGGAGGATGCGAAATGACATGTTTTGGGCGACGTCGACTGCTTTCCATTTGGTCCGCAGGATCGGGAATGTAGTTACCGGCGGCGACAACGAGAGGGTTCTCGTGTCGTGCCGCTTTTTCGAAATGACGCACTGATGCCGACTGTAGATACTTACTGATGGATTCTAGGTCCAGGTCGTCGTGGGGGTCGATATTTCTGACGTACCACAGGGCTCCGACGGCTATCCTGCAAAAACGGGATTGAAGGATTTCGAAGGGTTTTAAGTTTATGCGGGTATTATTAACACTACACTTGCATAGGTCATGATGCGTTTTTTCGTTGCTGCACGTCGTTTTATTTCCAAAGTCCACGTCTCTCTCCCGCTTCCGTCGCGGTGAGAAAAATAGGGTTGCTACGTTTCAAACACCACAACATAAATCACACCATATATTAAGAGACCGGAGGCCTTGAGCCTACCAACACTTCATTAATTTATTTTATTGGAGGCACGTCATTGAGATGTAATTTGACGGCATATGCGTTTATCACGTGTATACCAATGTCATATGATTTATCTACTGTTATTATTGATTAGACTTGCCTCGCGGTTTTCCTCGTGTTAAATTAATAATTCAGATACAATTTAACTCGTTACTTTTTCTCGGGATTATTTCGACAGTTTGGTCTATTTTAATTACCGGTCGAAATCTAGATCGATTCATTCGTAAAATCACGAAGCAGCGGCCACGCTGACGTCTTTGTTATATCAAATATACCCGGATCATGCTACGTATTAAACCATGTTAATCCAGTTAACCTACTCTTTTTTTTGCGACATTTCAACGGAATCCGTCGAGTCTTTTGGGCATAATTGTATAATCAACATACAAAATTAAACCCTTATAATATTAGTATAGATATGTTGTTTGCTATAAAAAATATCGAATTTATAGTTTTAATTATGAAAATAATTACTAAAAGCGATTAATAATAATTAAGGTCACACGAAACAGTCGCGGAGAATCGATTAAATGATGATTATTATTTAAAGCATTAAGGGTAGACAGATTAAGGGGTTAAAGTTACAGTCAAATATCATTTAGCGATTTTATTAAGGTGTTTTTATAGTTGACTTATTTAGTCTAGAAAACTTCGTTTGTTTGGCCTTAAATTATTTATTTATGACCTCGATTCCCTCTAAAGCGAAACTATTACCACAAATTTTACTAGGTTTCTAACAGGATGTATTTAAAGGTACCATTATACTTTCGTGATTTAACCTTGCCTTTTGTACTGTCATTATATTGTTTCCGACGTTTCGGATACTTTACAGTTTCCCGGAACGATTAAGAGAGCCGCGCCAATAAAGAAACGAATTTAAAATGGCGGCGGCGATCATGCGCTCTCACTCTAAACTATTGCTGTCTTTCTGCTAAACAAGGGCGGATCCAGCTTTGGCGCCAGGAGGGGGTCACATAGTCGTGGGCAAGTTAAGAACTTATAATTTAATTTTGATAATAGTAGATAATAAATAAATCATGATGTTCTTCAATTAGTCCAAGTTAGTTCAAGTCCTGGAACTAGCTCAGAGGGGGGTCATGACCCCCATGACCCTCCCCCCTGGATCCTCCGCTGCTGCTAAAGACACGAAGAAAAAAATATCAGTTCTGACTGTGTTGTTGCGTTCGAGTTTTTTCACCTCCCCCTCTGCCAGGGCATAAAGTAAAGTACATTCTCAATTGTTTTTTTTATATTTTTTTACAATAAACAACTTTTTCTTTCTATATTTCTTTTTATATGTTAACCCTACCATCTGTCAGTGCAGGTACATAGACGCCATTCTCGATTCGTTTCTTTATTGGCGCGGCTTATACATGTCCACAGTTGAATATTGTGCAACTACCGTCTGTTCTTCTAAAAAAATATTTAGACTTTTGCGTTTCATTTGACACACAATGAACTAACAGTATTTTGAGTTCTTGCAGTTTTATCGGCATTTTACAAATGAATAATGCGTTTTACTTGTTTGTGTGGTCGTAAAAACATGATAAGTTTTTAAAAAACCAAGAAAGATTACTAATACTTATCAGTGATGTGTTTTATACAATAGTGTTCACACACACACACACATACACATATAAGCAATGTAACCGATTTCATGACAATGTACGATAATAGATAACAGATCCCCGTGTTTATGTAATGACAGTTATCATTAGTTATAATTGTAATTAATTTAATAAATTCTGTTTCATTATTACTATTAGCATCTCGGTGCGTTGGACAAGCTATAGAAAACAATAGTTCCAATAATGATAGGTTGATTGGTTTTTTATTTATATCTATATTAATATAAATCTACAGTGGTTTTACGGATGTTCCGTTATAACTACTGAACTATGCATCCGATTGACTTGAAACTTGGTATCCATTTAAAAAATACATGTACTTAATAGATAGGCTAATATCTCTATGAGTGTTGGACTCCCTACACGAATTGCGGGGGCGTTAATGATGAGAATCTTTGTGGGGTTGAGAAATAATAATGTTAATTTTAAATGCCCAGCAAAGCGGACGGGTACAGCTAGTTTATTTATAATACTTGAGTGAAAATAGCTTAACGACTTAATTTTGAGCTAGATGACATTATAATAATAGAAAATAATAGAACATAGAAAATAATATAATTTGTTTTAATTAAGTCATAATACACGATACCTAGAATCGTTGAGAATATTCTACAAAAGTCGAGTCTTGTGTGTTTCCGCTATATGACAATAGATGGCATTGCACTTATAGAGTGTTCTAGATGCTACTAGATCCTTCGATATTCGTTCGACTATTTGGCGATAGATGGCGTTACGCTTACCGGCGTAACAATATAATACTCTTTTGACATAAAGTATAAACTTAATTCTAAATGATTCGTGCCGAAAGCCGAGGAGTTTGTCTATTTTGAATATTATTTATATGTAAAGGTTTCTAATATTCGCGTCCTCTTAATAAACTGCGTTTATATATAAATTTCTGTCGTGAACTAGTCGTTTCAACTGGATGAAGGGTCGGTGGAACAGACACCGTGACGCCTGTGCTGTCGAGGGTTACCACTTAACACCAGATGAACTTTGAGCTCATCGAATAATCAACCACATTAATATTTCTGTGCTACGATCATATTTACTTTAAAAGAAACTGTCATACTGATATTACCTTTGCGTATGACCGTCGCGGCGCCGGTTAACACTTACAATCTGGAATACCATCGATTTTTTTATTCTATACAATAAGCGGCGTAAGACATTCAAGACCATAGATGACAGTAAAAATATTGTTTTCTTTTAATGTATGTTTCAGATTTTTCAACGCTAAATCCGTTAAAATAATCGAAGAGAGTGTCGTTGATCCGGAAAAGAAGATTCTCGTAACATACACCAGAAATTTAGGGTACACTAAAGTGATGGTGAGTTTTGTTAATCGTACTAATCACTACATAGTATGTATAAAACAAAGTCGCTTTTTCTGTCCCTATATCTGTCTGTCCCTATGTATGCTTAAATCTTTAAAACTACGCATCGGATTTTGATGCGGTTTTTTTAATAGATAAAGTGATTGAAGAGGAAGATTTATATGTATAATAACATCCATTAAATAGTGGAGAAATCAATAATAAATTACAGTTTCCGAAGCGAAGCGAGGGCGGGTCGTTAGTAATTAATTTATTATAAACGCGAAAGTTTGTAAGAATGTATGGATGTATGTTTGTTACTCTTTCACGCAAAAACTACTGGATGGATTTAGATGAAACTGCAATAATATAGCTGACACATCAGAATAACACATAGACTATGATTTATGAAGATATAGTGAGAATTTCCCAAAATAAAACGATAAGGGTCAAGGAAGTCTGACCAAGATCTGCCCTCTTATTTTTATAATCATTAATAAATAACAGCTTGCGAAGCGAAGCGAGGGCGGGTCGCTGGTACTAAATAAATCATATTTACGCAGTGACTGCTTAATAAAAACATACAAATCGAACTCGTCTACATTATCAGGAATCCATGATTTGCAATTAATTCTTACACCGGTCACTCACATGCGCACGAATACGCAAACCCGCAAGTGTAGGACGACATTTGCGAATGATTATGCAAAGTTTTCGCTGCATTCGTGGTTTTCCAAGCTGTGTCGGTTTTTTAACAGACATCAAAGCCCGCGAACCTCGAACCTTCGCGTAGTCTCCCACACATTCGCTTGCCCAGTTGCGCCGACGATTGCGAAGGTGACGGACGTATCGCCATTTTGATAGTTCGTGACGTCTACTGTGTAGCGTATCTTCATCAAAAGAAATCCCATAAAAACAGCATGGCTGTTAATGATGTCTGGGAAAGAATTCAAAACTCTTTTTCTTTTCAATGTTCTATTGACGAATTAAAAAGGAGGAGAAATTCGTGAGACATTCGTAAACAAGTGTAGGAGGAAGCGCAAACGGGTTCGCAAATTGAGTGTGCGAACCCATTTGCACAGCCGCTAGGTTTGCGAATGAATGTTTAACGGCTATTTGCGCGCATGTCAGTGGCCGGCATTAAAATCTCTCATCTATGGATCATACGTTCGCGATATTCATATTGCTGCAACCAACAAGCAATTGAACTCGGCGTTCACTAATTAATAAGAGCGATGTATATTCCAGAGTGTAGTTGAGAGAGTAGAGTACAGGTCGGCCGGCCCGGGCCAGACCGTGGCCAAGCGCTCGGCGTGGATCGACTCGCAGGTGTTCGGCTTCTCGCGAGCCATACGGGCATTCGGCATCGAAAGGTTCAAGAAGAACTGCTCGCAGATGGTGAGTCCCGTAAAGAATATGAAGCATATCTTCATTAGCTTCTTTCGATATAATTTTTATTACTTGTATGGGTGGACGAGCTCACAGCCCACCTGGTGTTAAGTGGTTACTGGAGCCCATAGGCATCTACAACGCAAATGCGCCACCCACCTTGAGATATAAGTTTTAAGGTCTCAGTATAGTTACAATGGCTGCCCCACCATTCAAACCGAAACGCATTACTGCTTCACGGCAGAAATAGGCAGCGTGGTGGTGGTACCTACCCGCGCGGACTCACAAGAAGTCCTACCACCAGTAATGTGGTTCGTTTCCTGATTTGACTGGCGGAACGGGCACGGGCCGATACCGAACTCTCACCCGAACCTTTGATCTGAAGGTACGGCACTACAGAACTTCAAACTCGTGTCTCAAGCCTATTGTATTCACATCGTGACGTCTATGAGCAGTTGTTTTTGGTTCGTTGCATTAGAAAGAAAAAAAAACCTTTCAAACAAAAGAGATATAAGAGTCTCTTGAATTTTTGCTTGCATTTTCATGGTTCGATATTTTCGAGTATTAAATGCTAGCCAGCTGATTCCAGTTGGTCAGTTTGGGAACGGTAGTAGCACGTACACAGTGCGATAATGTCGTATGACGTGCTCCACGCAGGCGAGCGGGTTCAACCATGTCCTGCACAGCATGTACCCGCGGCCCGCGAGCCCCGCCTCCGGCATGGCCCTGTCTCTGAAGGAGATGCGCGAGGCGGCCGCCGCGGCCACGGATCGCGCCAAGGCCAACGTGCTCTCGTCCGTGCAGAGGACGTAGCCCGAAGACGCTGACGCGCGCTAGAGCGTAGGCCCGCAGTGACCCTGGCCAGATGCTCGACAGTTTGCGTTTGAGGGTAGTTAAGTATTGAACGTTCATGTTCACGATACCAATGAAAATTGTGAATATCATCTGTGAAAGCTTACTGAACTTCACGACCACAACTTTTGTGGTGTGTTAAATGTTAATGATAGCGGCTTTCTCTTGTGCTGTGGCGAGCCCGCAATGTATACTGTTTTACAACGTTTCGAATGTTGAAAGTCCCGTATTTATTTGGAAACTACCCTCCTAATTTTTTTTGTAATTGCCACTTCGTTTTTACAAAACCATGATAGAAACACGTTTAGACTGTAATTAAATGTATTATAGTTGAAGTAATTACAGTAATTTTATGTAAAAAAAATATAACCATAACGTGAAAATAAATTAAATAAATTTCATACTAAAAATATGGTTACTGTTTTGAAAAGTTGTGAAAAAAGTTGTTTTCAATGTGGGCACAGACGTGTCGTCCAAACATGTGCTAACAGTATATACACACCTTTACGTAAAGAACACGCAGAGAATTCGGGAGTCCGTCATATCTCGCAGGATCCTTGAAAACGTAACTTGTCATGTCTCTGACATTGTCGTTGTGTAATTCCCATATATCTCACCTATGGTCGACATTGTATCATTTAAAAATTANAAAGTTGTTTTCAATGTGGGCACAGACGTGTCGTCCAAACATGTGCTAACAGTATATACACACCTTTACGTAAAGAACACGCAGAGAATTCGGGAGTCCGTCATATCTCGCAGGATCCTTGAAAACGTAACTTGTCATGTCTCTGACATTGTCGTTGTGTAATTCCCATATATCTCACCTATGGTCGACATTGTATCATTTAAAAATTACATTATGCAAAAATTCATGCAAAACTAAAACATTCTAAATAATAATAAAAATTAATGCTATTTACGCGGATTATTTCTGTACCACAATTATCACAAAACATGATCCTCTGTCTTCCTCATTTGTAATCGTGGCTGTAAATTATGAAGTCATTTTCTTCAACTTCATGAGCCGTATAGACAATTTATAACCTCAAACAAGAGTGCAATAATGTATTTGAATCATACGATTCCCTTACGATATAACGTTATTAGTTTCGATATAATTTCACACGGTTCCATTATTGGGAGCTTGCTTTTCCACATTAATATTAATATATGAACTCTTTAATGTACATAACAAGAAATGTAAATGATGTTATGTAATAATAATAATAAACTGATCGCAGCGATATCGCTATTTAAATATTTACGTATTAATTATGTACTAACACTGCCGTAAAATGGCATTTAAAAAAAATACAAAAATGCCAATGCTACCTGTACCTTTCGGCCACATTCCAGCGTGTGGAGTGTTTGAATTATTTGCTATATGTTTCTACAGGCACACATTGTAAGTTGTTTTTTTTTCTTTGATTTTACCGCGCATTGCTATATGTTTCTACAGGCACACATTGTAAGTTGTTTTTTTTTCTTTGATTTTACCGCGCATTGCTATATAATATGTTTCTACAGGCACACATTGTAAGTTGTTTTTTTTTCTTTGATTTTACCGCGCATTTTAAATAATAGTAAAGAATTTTATTGAGTAGATTGAAGCAACAATTAAAATTGTCATATTAAGTTGTAAGACAGGTGTTCGTTAATTTGCTTACTACATTATATAGCGGTGTTCTGCTGAGTTCATTGTGCAGCATATTTTAAAATTATTTTTCTTTTTTCTGAGCAAATTTAAATTTTATTTTGAGCGATTTGCTGTATTTCTTGGCTATCTTTTAATAAGCGAATAAAATAAAAATATTAACCGGTCGGTGTATTCGACTCATTCTGATTTTTTGGTATAAATTCGATAATATAACGTCCTATATAAATAATACTCTAACTTCTGTAATGTATTACTCTATAATGTAAAGATTGTTAGATTTTAGCTGCCATCCAAGGTTTTTAAAACATACTTGATTGAGGATGCGATGACATTTGTTTTATGAAACCGAATTTTTTTTTCATTAAGTAATTGCTAATTTTTGTTCAATAATTTATTTCCTTTATTAAAAAGGTCTCATATTACTTGGAAATAAATTGCCACACCATTGTGCCTAATTTATAAAGAACAAAATTAGAAAAAACAATTTAAAAATAATTTACATATTTTAAAAGTATATTGTTGCATAATAATTATTAATTTATAGTAAAAATATATTTTTATGTTAATATAGTTAAATGTCTAAACATGTCATCTATGTATAAATTTTTTTTTCAATCAGGCATAATAATCCATATTATTATATTGCATCGCGTTGAACGTTTTTAGTTCTAGGTCCAAATTGTAATTTGATTTGTAGTTTAGACTTTAATTCTTAAGTCATTGAGAAGACCTGATTCATAGACAAAATGATTTTAAATATGGAATATTAAAGAAATATATTTTCTGCAGTTAGGAGTGGTTGTCCCTAGTTCTGTGTTGACATAGAGATTGTTATGAATGGTAGTGACCTCGAAGTAAACAAAATTCAATTTAATTCAATATATTTACATAAATCAATGTTTACTTGTGTTACTTGAGAAATAACGAGGTTACCACAGCATTTTACTTCAAAGTTAGTGAGAGTAGGTTTACACTAATTTAGAATCACAGAACTTTTCTTATTGTCTACAGCTAACAATTATAACCACCATTATTAAATAGATAAATATTCAGGGCAAATCAAACAAGGTCACCTGCCCCAAACTAGGATTCACTGTACTATCAGAACCAGGATATATAGTAAACACAGATATAAAGAGGAAACAAAATCTGTTCATGATATAAATGTTTGCCTGATATGGGAATAGCTTGCTGGGAAGCGTACTACTCTTATAAGCAGCCAGGGGCGTCACTGTCTTTAAAATATTGTATAAGAATACATGGAGAGATAGAAACGCTCTCAGAGTTATAGAGAACAATAAAATCATATTGTCTATAAATAGTCTGATTAATAAAATTATTGTATTTAAATATATTTCGGCCTATCTGGAGAATCAAGTTGAAATTTTATAATAATTATAAATGTAAAACTCTGATGTGTGTTAATACATAGAAATTATAAGCAGATTGCTAATAGTAATGTTATTATTGTAAATATTGTCTAGTCTGATTAAAATTGTAGTTGGAGATATATTTTAACATAATTGCATTTTAGATCCTTTAGTGTTTGTTACTGAGGATTGATAAAGTTAACATTTTAAATAATAGGTGTAGGAATATAATTTAATGTTACGGAAATGAGACAGAAACAATTGGCTCTAGTTTGAAATAGTAGTATTAAATTATATTTCACTTGTAAGATCAATAAAGGATACTTGCATAAACAGTGTTTTATTTGACTTTGCAGTTGTGATTACCTTGATGTCTATATTTATGTACATATGTGTATATTCATATTTGATGAACAATTTAAATCCATAAAAAAACAAATATTGTATATCATTTGTTAAAATCATTACTGGTACTGGAGGAGGGTGATTTTTATACTACAGCTATTGACGAAGGAAAAACTTGCATGCTAGTGTATATACATGAAATCTCATAAAATTTACAAAATGCATTGAAGTAAGTAATAACAACCAGAAGATACAGGTTTGCCTTAATGAGCACTAAACAGTGTTGCCATGTAGAGCACAATTTTATCTCATATTGTCAATCTACTTTTGCAACAATCAACCAGGAGGCCAGATGAATATGGTTTTCTATTATCCCAGCCCTTCTCCATATTGTGAGCATATAAAACTAAAAAGTGAAACAAGTTACATGAAAACAATTTTATTTTCTTTATTATAAATAGCTACATACTAGAATTAATGTTACAGTGTCTAATTTGTACATGTTGAATGCATAAGAGTCACCTCCAACACTTTTTAGTCAACTGTAATAAATGTCTATTCTTTCATAATCTCTCATTTTATTTTAATTGCAGCTCGTAACCTGGCACTTCTGCTTCTAGGATTACTTTCGACTTCTTCATCTGTGGGCACGTCAACATGTTTATTTAAAGCCCTCCAAGGTGTATCCAAAAACTCCTCAATTGTACTTTTATCTTGCACTAAAGTTGGGTTCAAGTACCGCAATGGCACTGGGTTAGCTACTTCATTGATTATGTTGCCAGCGATATGCCTTTTTACAATTGTATCTTCTAATGAATGGAAGCTTATTGTAACTAATCTACCATTAATTTTTAAATAATATTTTGACAACACCATGCCATAATTGATTTCATTTAACTCATTGTTCACAAATATACGTAATGCTTGGAAGACCTTTGTGGCATTCGACTGAGGTCTTTGTAGTTTATCCAGTCTGATCTCATCAGGGCAGCATGAATTAACTAAGTCAACTAATTCTTCGGTTGTTTCAATATTTTTAATCATATATCGAGCTTGTAATATCGTTTGTGCTATTTTCGCGGCTTTCTTTTCTTCTCCATATATTTTGAATATTTTATATAGTTCTTGTTCACTTGCTGTAGCCAAGACTTCTCTAGCAGATATTTGATTAGGGTCCCTGCCGGCATCCATTCTCATATCTAAATAACCATTTTTATTTATTGAAAAACCTCTTTCAGCTGTTTCTAATTGCATTGATGAACAACCAAAGTCAAATAATATCCCATCTATGGAAGATTGTGTAATTTCATTAGCTTTTAACAAGGAAGGCAGTTCACTGAATCTACCTAGCAAAGGGATCACTCTATTAGGATATTCTTTTGCTAAATTCTTTGCTTTTTCATATGCAACAGGATCTCTATCTAAGGTAATTAATTTACAGTTAGCAGATTCCAGAATTTTTCTGGAATGTCCTCCAGCGCCAAATGTCATGTCTACATACAATTCACCATCTTGAGGTTTTAAGTATTTCAATGCCTCATTTAACATTACTGGTGTATGATCTTTATATTTGACATATTCTGTGCAATATGTCCGCCTGAATACCGTGCGTATGAAATGCCTGAAAATCATTTCTAAGATCTTCCTAAAAATTTTCGGAAAAATCCTTTATTTTGTTCCTTCAGATATGCGAGTACCTCGTTTGATAGGATCAGGTTACACTCCTCAGTACTCAAACCAGTAGCTGTACTAGATTTGGTTCTCTTATATTTATTTCTGTAATGATTGTCGGCCAGTCGGTTTAGCGCCTGATATTGGCGATTACAGTATTCAGAATCTAAATTATGCTTCTCTGGCGATTCAAAAACAAATTTAACTCTATCCCTGATGAACTTACCAAGGTCTCTGTCAATGAATTTATAGGAAAGTAATTATTTTTCTGTGTATTTCATAATCTATTGTGTAATCTAATTTGTAGACTTACCTGTCTCCTTTAGTTACATCCAATGGCCATTTAGCTATGAGTTTGATAAATTTCTTATATTGAGTTGTCATAGCTATATATTTTTATTTCATTTTAATCGTTTTTTTTTCTAATATGCACAATTTGACTGAACAATCTGAAGAATTTATTTACTTTTGAGGTTACTAATTTCTGACATTGACGTTCGACTGTACAGTGATTTCAACTTTCAACTTTCCTAAATTATAAAAGCGAAAGGTTTTAGCCGCGCAGCTTTTTATTTCTTCAATATTCTCTAATGTTGGAGTGAATTAAGTAAATATTGCGTAATGATCTTGTAATTTTGTTAAAACCCATCTGATGTTTCTTTTGTTGCCATGTTGTTGAAAAAATGAACCTATAGTGAGGGGTAGATCTCAGGGGTATTTAAAACTATGGGTTAGTCACCAATATCGAATTTCGAATTTTAATCTTCCTTTATCACAAACAATTTTCAATTTTAAACAATAATTACATTTAGACGCGGGCGCACGCTATTCACACTCAAAACGGAAGCGCCCGGAACATAGATTATACACTGTTGAAAAGATCGACATAGATGCTAACTATGTATAGCGAGCGGGCATACGGCCGCGAGAGTGACGTACCGGTCGGTTTGCTACAAACCCTATTAAGTGTATAATCTATGCTGTGGTTGATAGAAAACAGTAGTTATCAACGACGAATTAAAGGTAGTGGTAAAATTAATTAAAGTGGAAGCTGACGTTACCCAATCTACCATTAAGTTAGCAGCAGCCTTTAACGTTAGCATCAAAATATTATTGGTCCACTTGCATTGAAAAACTTGATAAGTGGGTATTGCACGAACTGAACGATCGGCAGCGCGAGGAACGCGTTATAGTCTCATAATTTAATTCTATGGTTACAGTTTGCCTTGCGTTGCTTATCAGAGACTTAAGTGTATTATCTATGTCAGAGACAGAAACGAAGGGACTTTGAACTGCATTGTCACTTGTGATGAAAAATGTATTCTTTTTGAGAATCGTAAGCAGTTATCATGATAGTTAGGTTCAGCACTTAAGCAACGCTCCAAATGAAAACTATACCCTAAAAAAGACATGGTCACTGTTTGGTGGTCTACTACCGGTATAATTCATCACAGATTTAGGAAGCCAAATGGTCATTCAATCAGACCAATACAAATACGTTATTCCTACACGACAAGGCTCGAACTCATACCGCACTACAGACGGTCACTAAGAAGAAGTTTTGCGTCGTCGACCGTAATCACCAGACGTTGCGCCGGTAGATTTCTACTTTGTCCAAAGTTTGAAAAACTTCTTGGTCTTTGAAGGTTTATTGGCTCCCGCATACTTAACTTCTTCAAGAAGAGCATTGAAAAATTATTACTGCGCTGGAAGAGATTCACTAATATCACATGTATGTTTTGATTGAAATATATATACCTAGTCAGGTCATAAATTCTGTCACATGTTTAATGTAAAATAATTGAAACAAGTTTATTCATTATGTAACCATTCATATACCAAAATGAACTTAACAAAACATAGATTCTTATGACACTAAAGTTTATTCAAAATGACCTCCGTGATTTTGAATACAGGCCTTCAATCTGCGCGGCCAGTCGTCTATCGCAGCACGAACGAGGTCCATGTCAATATCGGCGGCTGCCTTAATCAAGGATGTCTTGAGTGACTCCAAATTGGGATGAGGCTTTGAGCACGCCTTTTCCTCCAAGTGTTGCCATATCTTGTAATCTAACGGATTCAAATCTGGACTGGAGGAGGGCCAGTCTTCGTGCCGGATGAAGTCGATTTCACGCGCCGCCAGCCAGTCTTGTGTGCTCTTCGCTCTATGAGCTGGCGCCGAATCTTGTTGGAATACCCAGTGCCTGTTATTGAACATGGTATGAGAAACAGGTTCCACAAGGTTCGTCAGGACTGTATTTTGATACACAACTGCATTCGTTTTTACACCTTTCTCACAAAAATGTACCTCTGTTAAGCCCCAATAAGAAACTCCCAACCATACCATGAGCGAGGATGGAAAATGACCTCGTTGGACACGCGGAATACGGTTGCTCGCTTCTTCACTACTGTGTGCGTACACCTTATCATTTTGTTTGTTGTAGCTCTCTTCTACGGTAAAAATTTTTTCATCCGAAAAAAGAATTTCCCGATATTTTTTTCCCGCGTACCGCTTCAACAAAGCGCGGCATCTCTTCAGTCTCAGGTCCATTAGACGAGCATTCAAACGATGTCCTGTTTTTCTTCGATATGCCCGAAGCCCTAAGTCTTCATTTAACACCCTTTTCACCGTGGTTCTGCTTAACCCCATCTGAAGGGCCAACAGTTTCTGCTTACGTTTGGGATTTCTTTGAATTCGCGCCTTCACAGCTTTTATCACTGCTGGAGTCCTAACAGACCGAGGGCGACCACTTCTTGACCTGTCATCTACACTAGAGTCTTCATTGTATCGTTTGATGGTACGATAAACGAATCTTTTGGTTGTATTCAAATTTTTCAGTATGTTAAAAATTTGAATTGGCGCGTAACCGCAACGATGCAACGCAATAACTGCAACACGGTCTTCTTTAAGCGTCCACTCCATATTTAAAAATGAGTAAAATTCTAAAAATATACATTTTTATTTTCATGAACAATCCGAAATTCGAATTCAATAAACTTTTTTGTGGCCAGCATTCTAAAAGAAAAGTTTTTACTGTGTGACAATACTTATGACCTGACTAGTTATATAAGAACTAGACTTTCATTATACTTTAATAGACTATGCTAAACAGCAATAATATTATTGTATTATATCATATTATGGTATTATTTACTGGTGGTAGGACCTCTTGAGAGTCCGCGCGGGTAGGTACCACTACCCTGCCTATTTCTGCCGTAAAGCAGTAATGCGTTTCGGTTTGAAGGGTGGGGCAGCCGTTGTAACTTATACTTGAGACCTTAGAGCTTATATTTCAAGGTGGGTGGCGCATTTACGTTGTAGATGTCTATGGGCTCCAGTAACCACTTAACACCAGGTGGGCTGTGAGATCGTCCATCCATCTAAGCAATAAAGAAAATCTACTGTATTAATATTAAACGGGAACTTTACAGGTAGAGACCTAATTTTCAATTTTGTTCGCATTTCCCGTGGTATACCTAGAGCAGGAACACTGAAGCCCACGGTGGCAGGTTTGGACTTTTTCATTGCCGTGTAGGTTAACGAGCATGTCACTTACATGACAATGAATGGTCACCGTCGCTCATGGATATTAGTAATACCAAGGGCACACTTTCCAAAGAACACTTTCCAAGTTCAAGGGACTTCCTCAAACCTCGTTCGAAGAAGGGGACGACGGCCGGAAATTGCAGGATGTTCTCGATCATGAGGTGCTTCACGTGCTGAAGTTCATCTCACTGCGTCAAATATTTGTGTAAGAAAGATAAAAAGAAAATGGCAGATGACAAGTCCGGGATATGATAGGTCAGTGAATCACTGTTTAATTATCTGTCGGTACAAATGGGTTTTCGATAAACATCGTAAGTATTCAGATAATGCGGACAGAAGAATATAGGCAGGCTTCCATTCTCGTTTTTATTTTTTTTATTTTTTTTTATTGCTTAGATGGGTGGACGAGCTCACAGCCCACCTGGTGTTAAGTGGTTACTGGAGCCCATAGACATCTACAACGTAAATGCGCCACCCACCTTGAGATATAAGTTCTAAGGTCTCAGTATAGTTACAACGGCTACCCCACCCTTCAAACCGAAACGCATTACTGCTTCACGGCAGAAATAGGCAGGGCGGTGGTACNGAGCTCACAGCCCACCTGGTGTTAAGTGGTTACTGGAGCCCATAGACATCTACAACGTAAATGCGCCACCCACCTTGAGATATAAGTTCTAAGGTCTCAGTATAGTTACAACGGCTACCCCACCCTTCAAACCGAAACGCATTACTGCTTCACGGCAGAAATAGGCAGGGCGGTGGTACCTACCCGTGCAGACTCACAATAGGTCCTACCACCAGTTGCTTTAGGCATTCCAAGCACAGACCACCGTTCTCATCAAACCCGTCGAAGGCAACAAAGGATTCGTCGTGCCACTTAACCGATAGACACAGACCATTGACTTTCTCGCCGGATCTTCTCAGTGGGTCGCGTTTCCGATCCGGTGATAGATTCAGCAAAGCACTGCTTTCGCTAGGGCAGATGTTAGCAAGTTTCTCAGATTGAGCAACGTAAGCTCGCCTAAATATTCGGCATGTAAATTTTATTAATTAATTTTTAATTGCTTAGGTGGGTAGACGAGCCCCCGGCTCACCTGGTGTTAAGTAGCTACCTTAGCCCATAGACATCTACAACGTAAATGCCGCCATCTACCTTGAGATGTAAGTACTAATGAAGGTCTCAGTATAGTTACAATAATTGTGAAACTATATTGTTTATCCTTCTTCCGCATATAATATTACCAGCTGTTATCTGCGGCTACGCCCAAAGGGTCAAGAGAAAGTGTCAAGGGAAATTGTTACTTAATTTTTCTAAAGTGTCACGTAATTTAGCTAAGGACAGTAATAAAACAGTTTCCTGCGGGAATGAGATGTTTTTTGGGATAAATGGCAGCCTATGCCAGTCTCCTGACCTATAATGAAATCTCAAAAAAATCACGTCAATCCGTTGATACGATTCGACCTGAAAGAAGGACAAACAAACATAGTTTCACAATTATTGTAATTATACTGAGACCTTAGAACTCAAGGTAGGTGGCGCATTTACGTTGTGGATGTCTATGGGCTCCAGTAACCTCTTAACAATAGGTGGGCTCTGAGCTCGTCCACCAATCTAATATATATTGTGAGTAAATAATAGGTATGTACACTTTTTATTTATTAATTTTTATTGCCCTTGTAGGCAGACGAGCATACGGACCACCTGATGGTGAGTGGTTACCGTCACCCATGGACTTCAGCAATGCCAGGGGCAGAGCCAAGCCACTACCTACCGCATAAGTAGTACGGATTCAATTTCAATTCGTTTTGTACTTTGTTGTCTTTGAACTTCGTGTTACGAATTTAAAATTACTAGCACAGTGGTCGAAACTCGACAATAATTAATTTAAATTATAAGTATGAACATTATTATGGTTCTATTGTAAAGCCTA